GCACGTAACACGTGGTTACGGCAATAAATCGCCTTGTTCATAGTCAAACTCGACGTTTGATATAAACAATAACTAAATAGTTGACCAGGTTAAAGAAATTATTGTCAAATGATTGTTAATTTATGGATGAGAGCCATCAAACCTACAGAAATTTATAACATAAAATCATGTCATCTTGACACCAATATCAATAAATTGAACAAATTTCTCTGTCAATTGTCCGAACTCGCTAGATCCAAATATCAACACACTAGCAGGTGTGCGGATAAATCATGAATAACGTCATAGTTCTCACCCCCTTGAAATCAGCATAAAGAGGGCTCCCGGCCAGTATCGGTGTGGCCTCCAACTTAGAAGGAACTAACGGATTAACGATCCTCATCGCTGACCACCAAAGACGGACACAGATAGATCCTACGAACTACAACTTAGTAAGTAGAACTCTCTCTTTCCTCTCAGGTGGATTAGGGCTAATTCCGCGAAAAGAATATTAAAGAGGATCAGAGACTATCCTCAGTCGAAATACCCAAGATATAATCCGACTAACCTACTATTGTAATATCGGTTTGATTTTGACATTATTATATTTCTTAGTATTTGTAACCCTTTTATATGATATATACTAATTAAATTTATATTATATCTTAATCATGCGTGTTTACTCGTACTCTGTCAACACCTTATCGACTTATCCGCGACCTCCCACTCGATTTTCGCCCTCCTAAATTGCCATCCACTGACCCTGTGAGCGGGACTCACCGCCCCGTTGTCGGAAAACGGTTCAAGCTTTGATGCTTAAACCCCGATTCTCACACTAATGTTTTTGAGATTCACGAATTAGCCTTTCGTCTTCTTGGTCTCTTATGTCAATATATTTATTGTTTTATGACGAGTAAAATTTTTTCGTTGTGTTCACAGCTTTTTTAAGTAATGCATAAACCTTCGAGGCGCGAGGCCCCTCGGACCGCGAGGCCGTAGGTGGTGGCCCACGTCGCCCACGCCTTACGCCGCCTCTGTGCAAACAATTGTATCAATCGAATTATTAAACATACACAATTAACTCTGTTTGCATATTTATATTGTTAAATTTGCAAACTATTTTAAAATTAATACAAAAATTCACCTGATTTCTAAAATTGCATATCTCCATAAACAGATTTAATAAGTATACAACATACTACATAATAATAAATCTCCGTGTGCATTAACTTTAATATGCTACCTGTTAACAGTATCCATTTAACACACATTTTTGTGGGTATTAATTTGTATATTAATCATAAGTTAGTTTGATTAAATCTCTAAATATTCCTACAAATACAGTAGTAAAATCTGAAAAATAAAGCTATACTATAAAAATGTTAAAATTAATAACTTATTATTTTACAATAAGTTAATTATAAATCAAGTTATTTGATTTCATTGATGAAATCAAAAATGGAAGTAAATAAAATTACAGGAAAGTAATTTTAAACAACTTTATTTAACATTTTAAACACACAATATAAATTATACATAAATACATAAATTTAGATAAACTTTTATAGCTTCCTTTCTATATTATAAAACACAGAAAGAGAACAAAATTATTTTAAGCTATTTTACATTAATATACAATAATTTACATCTAATAGAAATTTAAAATGAATGTAATATTTTTGCACAGTTAAATACTGGTTAAACTGGTTAAAGAAATCTTCCTCAACAATGTACTTAAAACAAATATTCAATTATATAAGTATAGTAAGTTAATTAACAATTAATCCTGTAACTGATAGAAAGAGATTTCAAATTCTGCAGCCAGCCATTCTGAATGAAATGTAAGCTTTATAGCATATGAAAATTGCTAACTGTTTAAGAAAATCACTGTTTGTAAATGAAATACTTAAATATAAGTAATATTTAAAATAATGAGTTGATAGTTTCACATGATTTATATATAGTGCAATAAGAGATTATTCATTACTATATATTTACACAATATTTTCTTTTGGTTTATGTTTGTATTATAAATTTCTATTTTTAAAATAATAATGTAATTCAATCAGAATCAGCCTTTGCAGAATTGAGTAATTCCTATCCAGTTACCATGACAAATGGCTCTAACCGATCTTCGGGTGGAAGCATAGCGTTCAATGTTTCCATGCTTTCTAATGTTTCTGCTAATGCTGTCTGACATCGTTTTAAAGTTGACGATATTTCATTCACCTTTCCTAATTGTTCGGCGTACTTTGCAAATTTTTTCTGCCGTTCTGTTATGAGACCCATAAGGGTCGCTATAGCAAAATCAACCTATAGTAAAATTATTGTAATTAGTATTATAAATTAAGTTATAGAATTATCATTTCCTTGTTTAGAAGATTTTATTATTTTAGATTAAAATTTCATTCTGGGATTAAAATATAAATTCATAACTCACTTCACGGATTCTTCCTGCAATGGCATTTTGTTCTATGCTTACAGCTTCTGCACAATATCGTAAATGTTCCTGATACCTCAAACACAACTGAAGAACACCTTGGGGATCTAATTTATCTAATACTTCTGGATCTCTGACTGTTGGAATATTTAGTGCACCTCTCATAATTGGAAGAAATGTAGGAATTGTCTATTGATTAAAAAAAATACAAATATGGCAGCTGCATACAAGATACATTAATATAATTATTTTGATCTTACTTGTAATTTTATCAGTTCTGGATCACCATCTAAAGTTTCTTGCATTTGTGTGCCTTGTTGAACAATTACTATGTCATGTCCAGATGTGGAACCAGCATAAGATTTAGGACGTGGAGTACGAGGTGAAGAGCGAGGAGAAGGAGTTTTTGTGCGAAGACTGTGGGCAGGACTTTTCATTGGAAGTTTGGGAGAATCTGAAGAAAATCAAAACATTCATATATAATTAACAGCAGCAGTAGGAAATGTTGCTATTAATAAGTTTATATCAAATAGAAAAAGCAACAGAAACTATCTCAAATAAAACAGTTAGGTTACAAAGCAGTACACAAAAAAGTTTTGATTTCATATTATAGTTCAATATCAACAGTGTATGGTATCTTATTGAAATAAATTTATTATTGATATTGAATATATATTTAACATAAGAACAAAATATAACTTAAATAGCTAAGATATAATTAAATTGTACTTTTAATTTATATTCATTTCTACTACTAAATATTTCACTTATTCAAAAGTACTACAACATTAATGTTAAAGTCTTACCTAGATGAAAAGACATTTTAGATCACAAAAAAAATTTCTATATTCTAATTATATTATTTTTATAAATGAAATTATTATCCAATTTAAGGGATCATTATTAAGTTAAAAAACATTGTCAGTGCATCGTGACTCAATCAATACAAATTTGCTGTTTAATAAATTCAGCCTTATTACTGGTATCTGAATTACTTGTTTTTGATTTCTTGATACAATGAATGTTCTTTAGTACATCATCATGATATCTGAATCAAAGAATCTGGTATTAAAAATTTATTAAAAGCATATTTGTGAACAATTTGAAAGCTATGCTAGTGGGAAGTAGGAAGCAACTGCATTCTTCCCACTTTTACCAGCATAATTTTCAAATTTATCCCAGCATCTGTGTTGTTTAGTGATTTTTATCACAAAACTTCAGTGCACACTTATATATAAGCTTTTTCTTAACACAGTAACTTCTGTACTAGAGTTTATAACTTTTTGTATCAATCTGGATTGGTCTTGATAAACATAGATCTATCCACAGCTGCACTACACAAAAAAGCATAACACTTGTTAAACTTCCAGATGTGAGGATAGCATTAGAAGAGTGGTAGATCTACCTTCCAATATAAGCATGCCCTAGAATATTCTTCTAAGTGAAGAATCAAAGCAAATCACCACTGAGAGGATTGGTAAACTAAAGAATCCATCCAATGTATTACTTAGAAAAGGCTTTGGTTAGGATGCTGGCTGCAGCAATGCCATTATCCAGCCTTATAGTAAAATTAGCTACTCATGTTAAGACAGCTATTATAAAGGGTTGGAGCACATAACAACATCCTCATATTCCTTTTATAAATTAGATGTAACATTTCTGTAACTATGAGGCTTTTAATTTTATCATTCAAAATTTATTTCTGTTACAAGTCTTATCATCTCCAAAAGAAAGAAGTACCAATGGTCTTGTCACTATCTGCTATCCTAGCAGAACTTATTATGCACAATGAAGAATGAAAACATCTAAGGATCCAATTCTGTATTTACACTGCATTAACAACACACTGGTTGCATGGTATGGAACACACAATGAATTTTTAGACTTCATACAACTACTAGAGAGTTTACCCATCCATTAAATTCACTGTGGCACAAGAGAACCAACAAGGCAAAATTCCTTCTTTCAATTTATCTTTACATAGAACTGACAGTGAGATTAGCATAAGAGTACAACAAACTGTAAGTTTGATCTACCTCCATCAATTATCCCAGCAACTTCTAGTACCCTATACCAATTCTACCATCATGTCTCTCATACATAGGGCCCATATATATCCAACCTCTCAAACCTAGTTAAAGAACAGCTCTAATGTATTTGCACAGAGGTTCAGAAAAGGCAGGATATACAATTTCTAATTTTAACTATCTTAACCTTTAGGTAGTAAGGGAAGTATTCCAGGCCAAAACTTTAGCTAGCAAAGGCAAAAAAGTTATTCACACATTCTGTCTCCTATTTGGAAATGATGTTCTTACACCTAGCTAGAATTTTTAAGAAGTATATACTACTTGTTATATCTTTGTTGTCCCTACGTAGAATTTATGAAATGACAAGGATGAATATGCATTACATGAAAAATCAGCTATATACACATATACAGGAGCTACCACTATGGGAATATTTATAAGTAGACTAATAGTGCCAAGATGACATTATTCATGGAAGACATACTACTGAATTTGCTAGACAAAGCCTTGATATTAACTATGAACCCCTATGGGTAAATGTGACAATATTACAATAATGTAGAGACAAAAGAGTATAGTGAAAGATGTACTGAGGGCAAATCCAAATATGAAAGGGAAAACAGGAAGAACAATGAGCAATGTTCAAGGTTTCATCTGTTTCTGCAATGCTTAAGAAAAGCATATGCTTAACACTAATGATAACTGATTTTAATGTTTGTTTAATTTCTATGTATTCTTTAATTTTTAATCAATAATACTGTACTTATTAATTTTCTTTTAATGCAGAACATTATCCATCTTGCTGACATTTTTATCACTTAACTTCCCTCTTATACCTGCTAAGAGAGGAAGTTTCTCTGCTCTTTGCTAGTAAACATCTCTTGGTTTTCAACTGTCACCCCTATTTTGCCACTGGATTTGACCAACTATCATGTGTATTTATATCAACCCTTGTGGCAAAAGCAGATGTACTGTACTATAATTTTTATTTGGGAAACCCTTCATATTGTAAGTAATGACACTGTCAATAAGCCCATATTAAAATTAAACATTACACCTTAGAATTAGAGATAATGATTTCAGTATCAATAACATATAAATAAATTAATCAAACCTTCCAAAAATTCAGACTTTATGAATGAGTATTTGACACCCAATTTCTATCAAACTAAAGTGCATTTTACTGAAGGAACACCCACTATATCTAAATTACTCAGGAATAATAAGGGCCAAATAGACCTAAGTGTACAGAGAATACCCATCGCTGACCACAAATTGGACCAGAACTTAGAATACATTAGTGTTACCACCCATTCCTTAAAAAACTAGAATCAGTGAACATGATTATACAATAAGAAAAAGGATAACCTCAACAGCTTTGGCAGCATATGGTTTTGAGAGTGCTTTGGAGGTAAACTGAAGTGAAGCTGGGATCATAATACACATAAGAAACAGACACAGCCTCAGACAGATGGAGGAACTTGAAATATACAAATAAAGATATAGGGGAATGGCTTTAAATTTCGAAAACTACTGATGGCTACAAATTTCTCAAATCATGGATATCATGATATTGAGAAAGTGAAGATTGTCTTCAATTATCTACATCTGATTTATGCTCAGTTATGCATTATAGATATAGAACATGGAAGGTAATCCACCAACTTTTCGATATGTGCTGATGACAATGAAATTTGACCTAATTTATAATAAGCAACTTTGATTAGAATAACAGCTAACATGGAGAAACTCAAGATACTGGAATCTCTTAAAATTTTTAAAGCCATCACACAAAGGTTGTGTATCAACTTTGAGGAGGAAAAACAATTTCCCAAGCATGGCAGGCCCTATTTGATAAGTTGTTATATAACAATATTATAACATCTATGTGAGGGGATATCCTATTGGTCAATCTTTGGGTTTAAATCAAATTTATCTGAAGTTCTGCACATTCTATTTTTGAACACTGAAGCCTATGGCATTCCATTTCTGAAAATTATAACATTAATGAGGTCTTTGAAGTAGACCAAAATCATTTATTTTCTGGATTTTTGTCTATCTGCTGGAAGAATCCCAAAGTTGAATTGTTTTTAATTTGGGTTAACTAATTTATGCATAATTGGTATTATAGTATTAATCCATGTAGATGAATTTTTCTTCAAATATGTTTGTATAATATTTGTTCATAATTTACATCAATTATCACTATGTTCCAGGATTCAAATGTTAATAGGAATTTTATCTTCTACTTGTTCTGTTATGTTTAAAATGTGTTCAATTCATAGAACAGCCTGATGAATGTCATTAAAAATAGCTTATAAATAATATATA